GGGGCCAGTAACAAGTGTCCGCGTGAGTGTCACCATCGCGTCCACGGCCCCGGGACGGACCCCACGTGGCTGACTAAGCAGTCCCACACGCAGACACAGACAAAGAGAGAGACAGAGACTCACCCCGTGGCGACAGCAGAGCCCCTTGTGCACGATGTAGTTGCGACAGCCCTCGTGCTTGCAGGTGCGGCGGCGCTTCTTCTCCTCCTTGCTGAGCTGCGTCGCGCTGCCGCTGGAGCTGATGGCGCCCACAGATGCGGCCGCGGCCGGCACGTTGAGGATGAAGGGCAGGGCGAACTTGTGCTCGTCGGGCGGCGGCGTGGCCGGTTCCGGCTCGAGCGCGTCTGGCGGCTGCAACGCCCTGTCAAAGTCGCTCAGCTCCATTGAGATCCGTCTCCAGCCTCGGTGGTCTGTCAGGAAGGGCAGCCCAAGCCTCAAGCTCAAGCTCGCTCGGCGAATGAGGCCATGTCGGTCGGTCTCTTCACGGTACCGCGGCGCCTTCGAAATTATTTGGTCCGTGGATCGGCTGCGGCGGGCCAGAGACGCGCCTCATTCGGCCAGGTCCCACTCTGCCTTATTATTTACGACGAAAGGGGAGCGGTCGGACCAAAATGCGCTTGGCGGCGAAAAGCGGACGAGTGAGGGCGGTGAGCTGGCCACGGGAGAAAATGGAGCTAGCTGGGTGTCGATGTGTGCGCAATAACGGCCGAGTGCATGAGGCTGAGCCGCCCCCCTTCGATGTCCTCAGAAAGGTCGACCCCCGAAAGATACAAATGCCACCACGCCGATCTGGTGAAATCAGGCGTCTCGCCTGCCATTGGCGCGCGTTCCTCCGGGCTCGCTGCCCTCCGCCAACCGTTTCCTCCGATGAATTTGGACTGGGCATGCAAGGCGTCGAAGCGGGGTCGAATGTCATCTCGACTCTGAGCGTCTACGTGGTGCGGGTGCGTGTTGGTGGCCTGGCTCCCATTCTCGAGCCCTTCGCTTCGGCGTTTCGCTGTGGTTACCTGGTGGAGACCAGGTCTTCCGCCGTAAATAGCTCGACCTTCACCTGTACTGACCTAACTGGCGGTGTGTGTACAACGGCCACGAGAACTCCATGTCCGCTTAACAGTCAGCACTGGATAGCAGATCTGATCCCACACACAGTAATTGAGAGCTCTCCTTGCACTGTGCTGCATTTAGCTGCGCTGGCCTGGCCAGCCAGCTGGCTGGCTGGCTGGCTGGCTGATCGCACAATCGCAACGCGGGCTACGGGTAAGACTCTTAGCCTACGAGCCTCGCAGGCTAAGATTAGGGCGCAAAATGCATTCAAAGAGATCGCAGCTTCAAGAACAGCTTCAAGTTTGGCCTTGCAGAGGTCAATGGCCCTCAGAAAACCGAGGTCACTTCTTATGAACCTTCAGTGCTGCTCTTTGAGTGGTGGCGTCCTTCTCAGCAGCTTGTTGTGCGCCTGCTTTCGTGCCGATGAGACCAAGACCCCAGGCGGAATTGGCACTCGTTGCTGTCCGCGCTACAAGAAGACCATTCCAAGAACTTATCCAAGCTCTAGTGTCAGCAAGTTTGTGGGAATAAGAGGGGTGTTCTCACGCGCGCGGGCTCTACGGCGACACTGACTTCTGCGTGGACAGACTTGGAGATGTGGTTTTTTGGGTAGACTCTCGCCTGACGCTGCAGCAAGCACGAACATGCTGAGTCGTTGCTTCTTTCGTGGACTCCATCCGAGGACGACGCTTCGATACTAATCTGGACAGCTATGTGCTCGGTCTACGGGATAGCCCCATGGGTCCTGGGACTCTGTGGCTGGACTGGAGTCGAACGTCGAGGAGCAGTCAAAACTGCTGCGTAGTTTGGCGAATGGGAGCTCGAGCAGCGGGTGGTGAGGGGCAAATGGTGTGTGCGCTGAGATGGGACTCCGTTGCGAACAGTCCGGGTTTTCATCGATTCGAGCTACAACATCTTGCTGAGCGGCAAAAAGGCCGAGTGCAAACGCCTGTCTTCGCCGTGCGTACGCCCATCAAACGTGTGAAGATGCACATGCAAATGGTAAAACATCACTTTACAGGCGAGTTGAGTGCGGCGGCTCATGACGACGAACGCATAAAGATCGGATCACGGCTGCAGCGCTGGCTACATAACCCCCCCCCCTCCCCGACCATTTCATTTGAAGCATCACCGTCGACTGTGCGGCTGGCAAAGGAGTGACATCTTCCAGAGTTTCCTCCGGAAGACGTCTTCTATGACCACGAAGTACTAGCTCGTCGGTCTGCGAACAGTGTTCAGTTGATAACAACATGCATAATTTGACGTATCCAACGGCTCGTGAGTCTGTGGGTTTGGACATTTATCTGCCCGTTGTTGACATGTGCGCGAAGTTTTACTGCTATCGTATATCAATCTGAAAATTCAACCGAGATGGCGGTTGTCTTGCGTGCGTCAGCTAGCGTGCTTCATTTCAGTATCATGGCGGCTATTCAGTTGCACCGTCAGTTGGCAAGCAATCGCGGTCGGAGCGGACGAGTGCAGCAAACCGCGAGCTAAACAAAGATGACACGCCATTTCCAGTCTGTTGATATCGGAAAAGGCA